GTAGTTATAATTGTAGTGGTGGTAGTTATAATTGTGGTGGTGGTAGTTATGATTGTGGTGGTGATAGTTATAATTGTAGTGGTGGTAGTTATAATTGTGGTGGTGGTAGTTATGATTGTGGTGGTGGTAGTTATGATTGTGGTGGTGGTAGTTATATTGTGGTGGTGGTAGTTATGATTGTGGTGGTGGTAGTTATGATTGTGGTGGTGGTAGTTATGATTGTGGTGGTGGTAGTTATGATTGTGGTGGTGGTAGTTATGATTGTGGTGGTGGTAGTTATGATTGTGGTGGTGGTAGTTATGATTGTGGTGGTGGTAGTTATGATTGTGGTGGTGATAGTTATAATTGTGGTGGTAGTAGTTATGATTATGGTGATAGGTGGAAGTGGTTCAGATGGTTGTGATTCAGTGCGTGATAGACACAGTTATAGTGGTAGCATTGTCCATTATATTATTATTATTATTATTATTATTATTATTATTATTATTATTATATTATTATTATTATATTATTATTATTATTATTATTATTATTATTATTATTATTATTATTATTATTATTATTATTTTTATTAATAAATTATTATTATATTATTATTTTATTATTGTCTTCATCGCTACCCTGATGATGTTTCGCCGGAGAGACGAAAGCTCTTCAGCTCTGCCTTCAGTTTTAAGGAGTTGCGTTGAGCCCTTACGGGACTAGCGCTCTCGTAAATAAGTCAACGTATCTCCCATTTTTTTTCTTCGCTTAGGATTCGCTAAAGGGTTGATGTTTCGCTCTGTACAGAGTTTTATCAAGTCAAGTTTCGCCCTGTGTAGAGCTTTATCAAGTTATGTTTCGCCCTGTGTAGAGCTTTATCGAGTTACGTTTCGCCCTGTGTAGAGATTTATCAAGTTATGTTTCGCCCTGTGTAGAGCTTTATCAATTTATGTTTCGCCCTGTGTAGAGCTTTATCGAGTTACGTTTCGCCCTGTGTAGAGCTTTATCAATTTATGTTTCGCCCTGTGTAGAGCTTTATCGAGTTACGTTTCGCCCTGTGTAGAGATTTATCAAGTTACGTTTCGCCCTGTGTAGAGCTTTATCAATTTATGTTTCGCCCTGTGTAGAGCTTTATCGAGTTACGTTTCGCCCTGTGTAGAGATTTATCAAGTTACGTTTCGCCCTGTGTAGAGCTTTATCAAATTATGTTTCGCCCTGTGTAGAGCTTTATCGAGTTTCGTTTCGCCCTGTGTAGTGATTTATCATTTTATGTTTCGCTCTGTGTAGAACTTTATCAAGTTATGTTTCGCCCTGTGTAGAGCTTTATCAAGTCATGATTTAGTGAACTTCTACACAGAGCGAAACATAACTAGATATAGCTCGACACAGGGCGAAACATAACTAGATAAAGTTCGACACAGGGCGAAACATAACTAGATAAAGCTCGACACAGGGCGAAACATAACTAGATAAAGTTCGACACAGGGCGAAACATAACTAGATAAAGTTCGACACAGGGCGAAACATAACTAGATAAAGCTCGACACAGGGCGAAACATAACTAGATAAAGCTCGACACAGAGCGAAACATAGCTAGATAAAGCTCGACACAGGGCGAAACATAACTAGATAAAGCTCGACGCAGAGCGAAACATAACTAGATAAAGCTCGACGCAGAGCGAAACATAACTAGATAAAGCTCGGCACAGAGCGAAACATAACTAGATAAAGCTCGACACAGGGCGAAACATAACAAGATAAAGCTCGACACAGGGCGAAACATAAGATAAAGCTCGACACAGGGCGAAACAAGCGCGTAATTATGACTTGGTATGCGAGTCAGTCTTGGTCAGATCTTCCAGTGTATTACAGAGACAACTGGGGACAAAAGTCGAGGTCTTAAAATTGCAAGACTTTCCTGCCATCTGCAACACTGACAGTTGCAACAAGTCAGGTCAGCATCCCCGGGGTCTTAGAAACCAGTGACTTGTCTCTTGGGTTTTAAAACCGGCGACTTGACTCTTGGTTTCAGTTTAGTGCTACAGAAAAAAATAATGAATAGAAAATGCGACAAGTGGGCGGATTGTGGGTGGAGGGTGGGTGGAGGGTGGGTGGAGTATGGGCCGTAGGTGGGCGGTGGGTGGTCCGAGGGTGGGCGGAAGGTAAGCCGAGGGTGGGCTGAGGGTGGGTGGAGGGTGGGCTGAGGGTGGGTGGAGGGTGGGCGGAGGGTGGGTGGAGGGTGGACGGAGGGTGGGCCATGTGCGGGTGGAGGGTAGGCCGAGGCTGAGTGAGGGGAGAGGGTGGACAGTGGAGAGCACGTAGCAAGGGAGGGGATGCACCATTCAGGGGATGGGGTTGGGGAATCAATTAAGTGGAAATGAGGGGAATCGAGTGAGTTAAGTGGAGATGGGGGAACCTAATGAGTTAAGTGGAAGTTCGGGAATCGAGTGAGTAAAGTGAAGGTGCTGGAATCTAGTGAGTTAAGTGGAGGTGGAGGAATCGAGTGAGTTAAGTGAAGGTGGAGGAATCAAGTGAGTTAAGTGAAGGTGGAGGAATCTAGTGAGTTAAGTGGAGGTGGAGGAATCAAGTGAGTTAAGTGGAGGTGGAGGAATCTAGTGAGTTAAGTGGAGGTGGAGGAATCGAGTGAATTAAGTGGAGGTGAAGGAATCGAGCAAATTAAGTGGAGGTGGAGGAATCTAGTGAGTTAAGTGGAGGTGGAGGAATCTAGTGAGTTAAGTGGAGGTGGAGGAATCTAGTGAGTTAAGTGGAGGTGGAGGAATCTAGTGAGTTAAGTGGAGGTGGAGGAATCGAGTGAATTAACTGGAGGTGGAGGAATCTAGTGAGTTAAGTGGAGGTGGAGGAATCAACTGAGCTAAGTGGAGGTGGAGGAATCTAGTGAGTTAAGTGGAGGTGGAGGAATCGAGTGAATTAAGTGGAGGTGGAGGAATCAAGTGAGTTAAGTGGAGGTGGAGGAATCTAGTGAGTTAAGTGGAGGTGGAGGAATCGAGTGAATTAAGTGGAGGTGAAGGAATCGAGCAAATTAAGTGGAGGTGGAGGAATCTAGTGAGTTAAGTGGAGGTGGAGGAATCTAGTGAGTTAAGTGGAGGTGGAGGAATCGAGTGAATTAAGTGGAGGTGGAGGAATCGAGCGAATTAAGTGGAGGTGGAGGAATCGAGTGAATTAAGTGGAGGTGGAGGAATCGAGTGAATTAAGTGGAGGTGGAGGAATCAAGTGAGTTAAGTGAAGGTGGAGGAATCGAGTGAATTAAGTGGAGGTGGAGGAATCGAGTGAGTTAAGTGGAGGTGGAGGAATCAAGTGAGTTAAGTGAAGGTGGAGGAATCAAGTGAGTTAAGTGAAGGTGGAGGACTCAAGTGAGTTAAGTGAAGGTGGAGGACTCAAGTGAGTTAAGTGAAGGTGGAGGACTCAAGTGAGTTAAGTGAAGGTGGAGGACTCAAGTGAGTTAAGTGAAGGTGGAGGACTCAAGTGAGTTAAGTGAAGGTGGAGGACTCAAGTGAGTTAAGTGAAGGTGGAGGACTCAAGTGAGTTAAATGAAGGTGGAGGACTCAAGTGAGTTAAATGAAGGTGGAGGACTCAAGTGAGTTAAGTGAAGGTGGAGGACTCAAGTGAGTTAAGTGAAGGTGGAGGACTCAAGTGAGTTAAGTGAAGGTGGAGGACTCAAGTGAGTTAAATGAAGGTGGAGGACTCAAGTGAGTTAAGTGAAGGTGGAGGACTCAAGTGAGTTAAATGAAGGTGGAGGACTCAAGTGAGTTAAGTGAAGGTGGAGGACTCAAGTGAGTTAAATGAAGGTGGAGGACTCAAGTGAGTTAAGTGAAGGTGGAGGACTCAAGTGAGTTAAATGAAGGTGGAGGACTCAAGTGAGTTAAATGAAGGTGGAGGACTCAAGTGAGTTAAATGAAGGTGGAGGACTCAAGTGAGTTAAATGAAGGTGGAGGACTCAAGTGAGTTAAGTGAAGGTGGAGGACTCAAGTGAGTTAAATGAAGGTGGAGGACTCAAGTGAGTTAAGTGAAGGTGGAGGACTCAAGTGAGTTAAATGAAGGTGGAGGACTCAAGTGAGTTAAATGAAGGTGGAGGACTCAAGTGAGTTAAGTGAAGGTGGAGGACTCAAGTGAGTTAAGTGAAGGTGGAGGACTCAAGTGAGTTAAGTGAAGGTGGAGGAATCAAGTGAGTTAAGTGAAGGTGGAGGACTCAAGTGAGTTAAGTGAAGGTGGAGGACTCAAGTGAGTTAAGTGAAGGTGGAGGAATCAAGTGAGTTAAGTGAAGTGGAGGACTCAAGTGAGTTAAGTGAAGGTGGAGGACTCAAGTGAGTTAAGTGAAGGTGGAGGAATCAAGTGAGTTAAGTGAAGGTGGAGGACTCAAGTGAGTTAAGGAAAAAGACAAACAGGAAACTCAAAGGTTCCTTTTATTGCTAAAAAAATAATGTCAAAGATGAACAATAGATTAAAAATCACAGTATTGTAGCAAATGATTTCATTATGTATTAATTTTGAAGTTCTTAATCTGTAGAGAAATGGGGAATGGGAGAGGAGTCAAGGTTGATCCGAGGAAGATGAGAGCAGCACAATGTATCTAGCTAAACAACCATTGATCAGCAACGAGGCACGACCTTACCTGGAGGGTCTACCTGGAGGCCTATCTGGTGGGTGTACATTCATGGTCTGCCTAAAGGGTCTACCTGGAGGTTTATCTGGAGGGTCTACCTAGAGTGTCTATCTGGAAGGTCTACCTATAGGATGTTCCGGGGGTCAACGCCCCCGTGGCCCGATCCATGACCAGGAATCCCTCACAGAGGTTCGTGCGGGACTCTTGTGGACAGTTCTGGATATTTATCAGAGGAAACGTATCGCCACCAGAGGCTTCATTAGGACTGACACCCGCAGGAAGGAGGGACGGAGAGATGGGTGAAACGTTTCCTGTAATACATGTCCTGAATTGTGCACGAGTGAGTGCACAGTTGGGTTATCACCAGAAGATTCACAGGGATGGAAATGTTTCTTACCCAGGAGGTCGTAGTGTGAGCGAGGGAGGGTAGGGAAGTGTGTATGGGGCAGCCTTGGGGCAGCCCCTGAAGTCCTGGGTGCCAGGAGGCTCTCTATGGTAAACACTGATGAAGGTGCCCGCGAAGCCGGCTGCAGTACGCCGCCGTCCGTCGCTTCCCCCGACGCCAGGCATCGAAGCTGTTCCGATGCCGACGCGTAGTTCTTCAGGGGGTCCGACATGTGTAGCGGGACCTTGAGCGGGTCGACGGAAGCGTACGACTTGAGGGGGTCGTGGCCCAGGTAGAGGCGCATGTGTTCCGGAAGGAGGTACTTGAGGTGCTCGGAGGTGAGGTAATGCTTGAGGGGGTCGCTGGAGGCCAGGTACTGCTTGAGGGGGTCGGCAGTGCCCATGTACTGACTCAGATGGTGGAGGTAGGCTGGGTATGGGTAGTGCGGCAGCGGGGCCAGGCAGGGCAAGGACGAGGGGCCTAGATGCTCCGCCACTGAAACCGCCGTGCCCGCAAGCGGCAGTCCTGGCGGCGGCAACGGCGGCAGCGCCGAAGACACTGGCGAAGAGCCTGAGGAGCGGACGCCTCCCGTCTCCACCATTTTACCGCCTCCTGACGCCACTTTGTTCAACTGAACACACCACAAGATCAACCAAGCGTCCGCAAGGTCCACTCCTCAGGCGGTAAACACACACTGGGCGGAGGAGGCTCCACCAGCACAACACGTGGCGACCGCAACAACAAGCACACACCAAGTGAACATCCATGGATCATCACTCACCATAAATCACTTTTGACTGGCCAGGCTCCGCCTACCTACCTCTGAGTGGCTGGTGAACTTCACCAGCCCAGCCCCTCGGCCAATCATTCCCCTTCATCCGTTAACCGCTCGCGTGAGCACCAATCGCACCCAGGGAAATTAAAAGGCGGGCGTGGCTCGTGACAGTGGCGGGAAGGAGGTCTCAGGCGGCGATTTTGGCGCTGTTATCAGGCCTCGCATCAATCCAATTGACCAAGGCAAATATTAAGAAACTTTACACACTAGCGAGCTCGACTGGAATATCTTTTCAGCGCCGAGTTCTTTGTAGAAGAACTGGAAGCATGACATCAAAGGGGAGTCGGGACCAGATAAAACGTATCTCTTGAGGGAGGCTAAAACCATGGGTGTTTGTGGCGAGGGTGATGGAGGGGGTGGCCCACGATGATGGAGGGGTGGCCCAGGATAGTGGAGGGGTGGCCCAGGAGAGAAGGGAGAGAGAGAGAGTAATCTATCACACTATGTTGGAGTTACTGGATATGATGGCTGCGTTGGGGCCCTCACACACGCCGACACCCGCTAATGAACCGCTAATTGGATGGTCCTACACCCAGCACTCTCCTTATTGTTCTTTTATTGTCCGCTGGATCGTGAGTCTCACGCCAGTAATGACGTGTAAGGCTTCGTCGACCAGAGAAAAAATCTTGGATGGGGAAGAATGAGGAGGAGGAGGAGAGAGAGAGAGAGAAGGGGTAATTATTTAATTATTTTGTTCTCCTTAATCTGTTGTCTAGGGGTTGGTGTCGACGTTCTTATGCGTCCTCTTTCTCGCTTATTTATGTGGCTAATTCTAACACACACACCACACACACACACACACACACACACACACACACACACATATACATACACACACACACACATACACACACACACACATACACACACACACACATACTCACACACACAGGAGAGATAGGGGGGGTATGATAATGACATATAAAATACTGAGAGGTATAGACAAGGTGGACAGAGACAGGATGCTCCAGAGATGGGACACGGCAGGAAGGGGTCACAGTTGGAAGGTGAAGACTCAGATGAATAACAGGGAGGTTAGGAAGTGTTTCTCAGTTACAGAGTTGTCAGGAAGTGGAATAGCCTGGTTAGTGATGTAGTGGAGGCAGGATCCATACATAGCTTTAAGAAGAGGTATGATAAAGCTCACGGAGCGGGAAGAGTGACTGAATAGCCACCAGTAGAAGAGGCGGGGCCAGGAGCTGTGAATCGACCCCCACAACCACAACTAGGTGAGGACACACACACACATATACATAGATATGTATGTTTAGAATTCGCAGAAAGTGCTTGTATATATGTCGTGCCTAATAGGTAAAACTTGCTATTTTCGCTTAAATAGCTACGGACTTCATGCCGAATAATGCAAGCGAAAATTTGTGTATGCAATTTTTTCGCATAAATCATTCTGAACGTAACGAAAAAATATATTTCATTGAGTTTATTTATTTTTAAATTATTGTAAACTTATCTCAAATATATTTAGTTGGATTAGGTTAAATTAAATTACGCTTGTTATAATAAGGTTAGGTAAGTTTTCTAATTTTCTTTTGGTACAAATTTATTAATTTTTGATATTACCATAAATGAAAAACATATATATTTAAACGTATAAGATAAAATTTTTGAAAGGACTTAATTTTAAATGAGTTCTTGCTAATTGGCCAGTTTTACCTATTCGGCACGACATATACATATACATATTAAAATATATATATATATATATATATATATATATATATACATGGGGAGGTGGAACAGAATTCTTCCTCCGTAAGCCATGCGTGTCGTAAGAGGCGACTAAAATGCCTTGAGCAAAGGGCTAGTAACCTCTTCTCCTGTATACATTAGTACAGTTTAAAAGAGAAACTATTGTTTTTTCTTTTTGGGACACCCTGCCTCGGTGGGATACGGCCAGTTTGTTGAAAGAATACTTAGCAATTTGCAAACGGGCGAAATTATTTACAAAAATTCTGTCTCAGTCCACAGCAGGATTCGAATCTGCAGACTCAGCGGAATTAGAGGCGAATGCAATAAGAGAAAAGAGCAAAGTGATGAGAGTAAAACGTGTCTGCAAGATGGATCTGTGAGACACGAGGGAACGTGTTGGGACCTGTGTGAGGGCAACAGTGTGTCAGCGGAGTGGGAAAAAAGTGGGATGTAGTAGAGTATAGCAACAAGAAATGTGGAATGTACGATGGTGTGGTAGTGTCTTCACTATGTGTTTGAAGCAACTTGTAGCGAAGAGGATGCTGATGATAGTGACGCAGGAGGTTGTGGATCGTGGCGCAGGAGGTTGTGGAGAGTGGCGCAGGAGGTTGTGGATCGTGGCGCAGGAGGTTGTGGAGAGTGGCGCAGGAGGTTGTGGATCGTGGCGCAGGAGGTTGTGGAGAGTGACGCAGGAGGTTGTGGAGATTGGCGCAGGAGGTTGTGGAGAGTGGCGCAGGAGGTTATGGAGAGTGGCGCAGGAGGTTGTGGAGAGTGACGCAGGAGGTTGTGGAGAGTGACGCAGGAGGTTGTGGAGATTGGGCGCAGGATGGTTGTGGAGAGTGGCGCAGGAGGTTGTGGAGAGTGGCGCAGGAGGTTGTGTGGAGAGTGGCGCAGGAGGTTGTGGGAGAGTGGCGCAGGAGGTTGTGGATAGTGGCGCATGAGGTTTGTGGATAGTGGCGCAGGAGGTTGTGGAGATTGGCGCAGGAGGTTGTGGAGAGTGGCGCAGGAGGTTGTGGATAGTGGCGCATGAGGTTGTGGATAGTGGCGCAGGAGGTTGTGGAGATTGGCGCAGGAGGTTGTGAGAGTGGCGCAGGAGGTTGTGGATAGTGGGCGCATGAGGTTGTGGATAGTGGCGCAGGAGGTTGTGGATAGTGACGCAGGAGGTTGTGGATAGTGGCGCATGAGGTTGTGGATAGTGGCGCAGGAGGTTGTGGATAGTGACGCAGGAGGTTGTGGATAGTGGCGCAGGAGGCTGTGGATAGTGACGCAGGAGGTTGTGGATAGTGGCGCAGGAGGCTGTGGATAGTGACGCAGGAGGTTGTGGATAGTGGCGCAGGAGGTTGTGGATAGTGGCGCAGGAGGTTGTGGATAGTGACGCAGGAGGTTGTGGATAGTGGCGCAGGAG